AGAGCATGACTGGTATTAGTATCTCTTCCGGTTTGGATCAACTCGTTGTCATTCACCTGAACGACGGCAACGATTTTCTCTTCTCGTTAGTAAACCTTAAAGATAATCAAAACTCAAACATCAATCGTGTGGGAGAACTGGTGGCTGTTCTTCTGCATCAATACTACTTGTGAGTGAAATATTCATGACTTTTGATGTCTATTTAAATATTTATTATAAAATTCTTATGATTGATAACAACCCGTAGACTTCAAAAGCGAGAATTAAAAGTAAAGGTCGGAGAACCCGTTTTCTGTAAACTCGGCAAAAAGGATAAGAAAGTGGACATTGAGTTCAACGCACCGTCAGTTATGTTTGTCAAGAGATCCAACGATTCTTTGTCTCTTTTGTGGCCAAATGTAATGAATGGAAACAGTCATTAATTCAGTCATTAAACACGTTTCAAATTCCTAACACTAATCTGCTTAGATTTTATATGTTATGAAACTAATATTATATTTTTAAAAATAAATTATTTCTAATTTTGTTATTTATATTTGTTATAAAGAAGTATTACCATGAATTGATCATTTATTTTAAATAAAGGCTATTCTTTATACAGAAATTCATATATTTATTCAATTTTTGGAATCTTTAAAAAATATTAAAGTATAGAATTTTCAATACATACAGAATTGTGTGAAACACCAAATTGTTTAAAATAAACTTAAATCCATAGCAAACACTAAATTGAAAGTTAAAAATTATTTTATTACTGTAAAAATAACACAAAATGGTATTAAAATATTAAATGGAAAATGTTTTTGAGCAAAAAATGAAAACAAAAGTTATTTGATATTCAATTTAATATAAAAGATACATACGAAATAATAAAATCAGCATTTAATACAACAATAAAGTAAATAAATTTGTATTAATATTAATAACTAATAGTGACCAGATTTACATGTAATGCAAAACAATAGTCAGTTACTGTATATGAATTGTATTTCAAATTTGTGTCAATACAAAGCATTTCAAAACGTGTTTTCATAGTATTAATCAATAAATATAATTCATTTGAATATATATTCTAAACTGAACTTCACTTTCAATGGACTTCTGAACTTCACTGTAACACGAGTCCAATCTAATGATGAAAAAGTCATAGTAATTAAGGACTAAAACATTTGAGAAAGTAATACCTTTTCAGGAGTGAGTGGCGGACACTTCCAATTGAACAAATAGTACTGAAGATTTCCGTCTCCAATACCAAACTTCAGTTTCTCCAAGAATTCCTTGTTATCCA